GGTCCTTGACAGGGTATGTCATTGCAATTGTTGCCGTGGGGTGTTTATGTAGGTTCAGAAAACACCAGGATGAACTGATAGAAAGAATAACAATATGTTGGGGTGTATTAAATACAGAAACCTTTGTGTTAGGCTATTCTGCAAGTGCATGGAGGCAAAGAAGACATTCAGGGAACTGTGCTACATACTGCCTTTGCTTTTAAACTCTTTTTTCCCAAGAAATCAATTTTTTTGTCTGATGTGGAGGTGAACGTTTGGTCTGAGCTAGTATCACATTTTATAGGAGGAGCTAGAAAACTGCACGTGAAGAGGTGTCATAGGTTACTATAATAAAGGGCCTTGAGCAGCAGGAATCCAAATTCAAAAGCACACAAAAGCTCTGAAAAATAAGAGAAAGTGGAGATTCAGGTTGTTCTTAATTATCATTTAGCGTGTCCTGGTAGACTAAATGGCATTTATTTGTATTCTTAAAGACACAGCTCTTGCTTTCAAACACTGTAGCCACAGACTGATGGCTTCCTTCTTGTATGTGAAGTTGTACATTTTGAAAGCTAAAACAGAACATATTTTATTAAAATCAAAACCTGTAAGTAATAGAAGTTAAAGGTGTCTTTAGTTGTTTATCTTCCTTGTTTACAGCCTTTAGTTTACTGTTAACTACTTTATGGGTAATCCTTGTTCCTAGCATTTGTGGAAAGAGATGGAGCTAAAAGCTGTCATGTTTTCGTTAGATAGGAACTGAAAGGTCTGGAACAGAGGGCAGAATACAATCTTCTGCACTTATGGAAATAACACTTGTAGACATCATTTGTGATGTCTTGTTTCTTGCTCTTCCAAAATGTTGTGTGGCTAGAAATTACTCCTGTCAGTCATCAGTATATAAGTTTGTAATAGTTTTGATAGCAAATTGTATTTACATGACGTGTTGCTTCTTCCCAGATTCTGCAGAAGGTACTGCATGGGTGCAGTGAGAGCATGCTAGGGACAATGGCACTGCCAGCTTGCCAGTTCATGGAAGAACCCGGAATGGCAGCGCAGATGCATGAATCTAAACATCCTTCTAAGAACAATACCAATTTTGAGGTAAGTTAGACTTGTAGTGTAGTACAGTGCATTTGCGTGGCTTGAAGAGTTCTAAAACATCAGGGTGGTTGGAGCAGAAATGTCAGTGGTCCGCGTGTTTACCTGTGGGCCTTTGTGCTTGAAGCACCTGTGAAATATGTGTTCAGTGTTGCTTTTGGAAGGGCTGCTGCTGTCTGAGTGAGGCCTTGCCCTGTAAAGAAATATGTTCAGTAAGGCACTGTTATGTAATCTAATTCAATCATGTGAAAAGTGCATAACTTCAATGGTTTTGTTATGCGTGTGTTTGAAGCACATCATATTCTTAAATGGTCTCAGGGCCTTAATGAACAAATATTTCTACCCTTTCATCCAAAGGTTCATTTCCGTTTGCCTGTTACTTCCTTGTGCTGTTAGATGAAAGCTGGGGGTGGAGTCTCGTTTTCCTTGTATTTCTCATTTTAGGCTATCTTATCCTGACACAAACAATTCTTATTTTCTTCTCTTGATATTGTTTGAAAGCCTTTTTCTAATGCAGTTCAGTAAATAACTGTTGCCTCTGGGCAGTCTTGGGACTTTTAATTTATCTGCAGCTCTGATTCTTCTGATTTTTGTCCTTTAAAATGCATAGAAACCTTTAGGTTGTGGCAGTGGAGATCAGTATCAGCAACAATTACCGCTTCTAATAAAACCCTAGCAATTAATTTTACATGCTAAACAGCTAACGCAAACAATAGGCCATGCTTTACATTTGTTAAATGAACTACATATAAAAATAGTAAAGGGAGTTGTTTGTTTTTTTGGGTATTCTTTTTCTCTCTGGATATGCTGTAGTATTTGTTCTTTGTATGGAGAAAGTGAAGTAGCTCTTTGGTAATATAGTATTGCAGGATGCAAAGATTCATGTGTTTATTTCTCAGGATAAAGTTCACATTCCTGGTGCTATCTACCTCTCCATCAAATTTGACTCTCAGTGTAATACAGAAGAGGGCTCATGTCCAGCAGCAGTGATTTCCAGCAGGATTGACTCAGCTTCCATGGATCTCCACAGAAATGGAACGATTTTGAACTTCCGGGTGACTATGCTGTGTTTCAAAGTTCAGATGTGTAGGCTATTGATGGTGTTTCGGACTCTCTTGAGAAACTAATGACACTTACATGTAGATGTTCCTGAGATGGGTGGGAAGAAAAGACAACCCTTTTCTTGTCCCAGCCTGTTTGCTCTGACGTGCTGCTCTTGCATTTGTTTCTTTGAAAGTAGGCTTATCTGCTGTTCTGCTGCTTGAGCTTTTTTTTTCCACCCTTTGGTCAAAGCATGCACTCAGTGACTGGAAACAAATTTTGATCTTGATTCTGTTCCACCACAGTCCTTGTTCTGCACAACATTCACTTACAGTGTTCCTGCTTCCAGTTGACTGACAGCTTCAGTCTCTGTTCTCTCCTAAGCCCGTTTCTGAGAACACAGTAGCAAATGCTGGTGAGCTGAAGGACGACATCTTTGAGTTGCTTTAACCCACTGAGCACCATGCCATTGCAGGAAGCTTTTGACTTTGAGTGCTGTCAGTAGATGGAAATAGGTGTAGGAGCTCTCTTAGCAAAGCAGTTTGGGTGACAAAGTGCAAGTTAGCAATGTAGAAATACTTTGGATTTTTATGACCTTCTTTCTGTCCTTTTCCTTCCATAGAGTTGCAGAGGTTTGCTAAGAAAGTGAACTTGGAGGCCCATTGTTTTGGAGCAGCCTTGGCTGTGAAACTTGAGCTTCACCTTGTGAAACTTCATTTCCGGACAAGGCTGTCTGGATTAAGCCTCTTAATTCCCCTCAGCAGGCTTAACTGAAACCAGGCATTTGAAGGCTTCTGGGCTTTCCATCTGATGACAGGGCTTTCTCAAAACTCTTAGGAGTAGGAGAGAGCAATGAGTCCATTTGTGATGAAAAAGGGAAGAAGCTGTTAGATTTTTAGGGGCTTTTTAATCGTAAAAAAATGTTTCTAAAATGTTTCTTCATGAAACTGCAAATTCTGCTTCTCGGTGAAAACTGGCATGCTTGTCCCAGGGTGACAGGATTTTCCATGGAACAGAAGGCAATTCCGTTTTAACCAGATCTACTATTGCAGAGCACAACAGGTAAGGACCTGTTTTGTTTAGCATTACAGCTAACCACCAGTGTTCCCCTCTGAGAAGCTGGAGATGCTACAATGACAAGAACTTCTTGAATGTTCCAGTTCCTACAGCAAAATGGTGAAACGTTTTGATAGCTCTTCCACTTTTAATCCTAACCACTTAAGGGTCTTGTTCCCTAGACTGAAAGTGTGCCATTTAATTCTCTGACCTGTAAAAGCAGTGCAGCTTTGCTTTCTCTGGTTTTTAACCTTTTGTTTAATGGGCTGTGAATTTGGCTGCCTGTGTAAAGGTTCTTTCTTCGTAAATCATAACTGATCCATAACACAATTGGAAAAGGGAAGCTTAACTGCGTCCAGTATAGAGGTTCTTTAACTCCTCCTTCAAGCTAGCTGACAAAAATGTAAGAGGCATTATCCTTGTATCTTTAGACAGTGGAAACCATTCCGTGTTTTACTTCAGCCTCCAGCTTAATGGTAAGTGTTCTGTGCATTTCAGAATTACCAAAAAGCAAAAGATCACATCTCCTGAATGATGATTTCTAGGATTAATCTGTGAAGAAAAAGTAAGAAAAGGGAAGAAAAAATGACTAAGCTGATATTATTTTGAGGGCAGAAAACAATGATTTGAAGTAGATAATTTGCCTTTCAGATAAAATTCACACTGCCTGATAGATATTTATTATAAAGGGTTATTTTGAAGCCATCCTTTTTTTTTTTTTTTTTTCCTGGCTTTCTAAAAGAGGTCCACTGAGCTCAAATGTTGTTTTGAAGGAAAAAAAGTATGTATGGCATGGGTATTCCTCATGAAAATACACATTCAAAACACTGTTGAGCTCTTAGTGTTTTGCATATGTTTATAGTCACATTAACTCGAGAAATACTGGAAACACAGACAACAGTGCTGGAACATGGACACTTACCTGCTTATACCTTTTCAGTTCAGAATAAGCAAAATCATTAAAATAACAGCATCCTGCTAGCTTGCTTTGATAAAGAGAAGTCAAAAAGTATATTCGTGCTGTGACAATTACATAAAACCATTTGGCTCTCTGCAAACTTTAGATACACTAGTCTGTGTCCAAGTCTGAAAACCTGGCTTTGGGATTTCAATCATGGATTTCTTACTTTTTCAAGTTCCCTTAGGTATTTTCATCAGCAAATGTCATCTTTCTCATGTGGACAACAGATTTAATTGCTGAAAGGCCAAGTCTCCATTGTGGTTGTATTATTTAATATTTTCTTGTGTTAATCTGATGATACATTCTGAAATTGAGTTTCTTCTCCCCCCCCCCCCCCCCCCCCCCCCCCCAATATTTGTCATCCTATCTGTGTAGTAAGTAACATTTGGGTTAGTTGGCTTTAACTCAGGAGTAGGAAGGAGGCAGGGTTGGAATTGTTTTTAAAGCTATAGATCAGTTTTTGTCTGCCCTATACAAGGGCATCACCTGCTTAGTGCTGTAGTGCAGTATTGGATAATTTCAATCCATGGAGCTACAGCATTTCGCAAAGTAACGGATACAGGTATTTCAAAGTCTTCATTTCATGAGGCCACATAGTTTTACGAAAGTCATTTGGACATATTCACAGATGTGAGGTTTTCTCCACTTCACTGATTCAGAATGAAATGAATTGTGCTGAAACACTTGACTGAATTTAAATTTTAGAATAATTCTTGTGCTTCTTCCTTCATTTATGCATCTGTTAAAACTGTATGGCTTTGTTCTCTTGAATTTGTTTGGGGTTCTGTGTTGGCTTTTTTTTCCCTCCCAGAAACAGGCATAAGGTCACGGTTACTCACTATTACATTTGAATTACCTTTTTTTCAGGGACTGTGACTTTACCTTGTTGAAGCCACTTCGGCAGCTTTTTACCACTATGGAAAACAACTTGTGTCACGACATGGCCAAGCCTGGGATTCTCCTTCCTCTTCATCGTGCACTTGCAGAACTCTTCTTTGTTACAGAAAACAGGGTTAGCGTAAGCAGTTCCTGTATTTGTATCCCTCCTCTCTGCAGTGCCCAGAATGATATGTAGTTCAGTGTTAAATTAAAAGCAGTTTTCCTTTACCTTGGCAAAGTTCATCAGAGCTTTAGAACCATTAAATGCTTCAGAAACGTTGGAAACTTTCTCTTGTGGAGTCTGGCAGCAAATTCTAATAGAGGGGCCATACTGTTGCCATATCCATTGTGGAGCCTTATGTAATAGTCATGACTCCTCCTTACGCACTTAAGACAGCAAGCCCTAAAGCCACTCTTTATTCTGAGAGGCATGCTGGTTTAATAATTAATTTTAAGGTATTTAAATGTGCTTTTCCTTGAGTTGGTTTTGCACATTACATAGGAACAGTCTGTAATGAACTGATTTCTGTGTTCACAAACCGTGTTCTAGTCAGAGAGAGTCTTATGTGTAGTTCAGATACCTTTGGTTCATGGGGACTACTGCACTTTAATGTTAATTAGTAGGATGATATCTTTACTAGAAGTGTTGGTGTTCACTGAAGGCTTTCTTGCAGGAGCTTGGATCTCTACAAGAGTATTTGCTTGCCTTAAATACTGAAGATCAACTTCATCACTGCACAGCACAGGTAATAAGATTGCACAACCTCAGTGATGTGTGGTTTTGCAATATCTTTCTGACAGGCAGAGATAATGAATGGTTTCTGAGTGCCCAGTGGAGTTATATAAAGTAGAGAGAAATGTACTTGGACTTTACTATGAAAGGCTTCTGAAATACGTGAATGAACCATGCACAAATGTTCTCCTTTCATAATCAGCTGGTGTGCCACAAACTGGCTGTTGGGTGTCATCTGGTTTACCAAACTGACCTCTGAACTGCCAAAACGTGGAAATGGGGATGGGGACTGGTCTTTCAGTAGCTGGAAATGCAGTTGCCTTGCTGGAACTGCCTGGATACATGACAATTTTTGCACTACCATGAGAGGAGCAGCTAGATGGTTATTTATCTATTTCTGTTTAATTTCATACAAGGTTTTCTTTCATTTTGGATTGAGGAGAATCATGACTTTTTCCTTCTCTCTTTTAGGCCCTGAAAAACATTGCTGCTATCAGCCTTGCCATTAGCTATCCAGACAAATCACCAAGTTTCTGGAATGTTTAATACTGGCTCAGGCCAGAGTGCATGGCATAGAGTAGTTTGTCCATTGGAACGAACATCTTAACTCCGTTCAGGAGAAGTTCCTTCAGCTTCAGTGTATGAGCACTCTGCAGCCTGCCCTCCTTCCTTCCTTCCACCTTGATGTAGAATTTGTAAAAGGAAAAGCACACTTCAATGAAAAAGCACATCTTGAAGTAACTCACGCGTCACCTACAGTTACGTATGCACATATTGTAGCATGTTAGAGTAAACTGAACAGTGCTATTTCTTTTTTTACCCAGAGGAAGTAAATGGAAGAAGGTAGTTGAGAATGGAAGGCCCCTGCATTTGAGGGTGGCAGAGCCCTGGAACAGGCTCCCCAGGAGGGGCTGGAGTCGCCCTCTCTCGAGACATTCAAACCCCACCTAGATCTGTTCCTGTGTGACCTGCTCTGGATGGCCCTGCCTTGGCAGATCTCCAGAGCTCCCTTCCTACCCTGATGATTCTGTGCTTTTGTGACTGCAAGCAAACCAGGGCTGATGGAAAGAAGGGGCTGGAAAGAAGGGGCGGGAGGGAGGGGGAGAGCTAAAATTCCCCCAGCCCTCTGCAGGGGAGGCTGACAGTGCCCACTGCTGCATTGCTATGGCCCTGCAGGTGCCGGTCTGCGGGTGCGTGGAGGAGGAAAAACACAAGCTCTGGGACTCGTTGCGCAAGAAGTACCAGCAGAAGACAAGGGTGAAAGTGGCACCCCCGAAGGCTTGGAATGAAAAGCAAGAGCAATGGGAGGTCCAGGTACTGCCGCAGGGAAAAATAATTAGGAAAAGAGCATTCCTGTCCTCCGGGGAGCCAAGGTGGGAAGGTCCCTAAGGCATAGGAGCGTGGGGGCTGACTGTCCTCTGCGGGACTGTACCAGCTCGAGGCACCTTTCCATTGCCCAGCGACATCTCCCATTCTTACCTCTCTGTGCAGGGTCCTGCATTTGTGACATTCCCACATGGTGGCGAGACACCAGGAGAGGATGAGGAGAGCCCAGAGCACAAGCTGAGGCTTTGCCCTTTGCAGTACTCATACGTGCAAAGGTGAGCTTGGACCAGGTTCAGGACAGAACCCTAACCTTCTCCCAAGGCTTTGCTATAGCAGCTCAGCTGCAGCCCTGCTCTTGGTGGTCCCTGCACCCTCTGGTCTCTGGCAGTGTGCCCTGCCATGGCTGCACAGCTCTTCTGGGGAGAATGGAGAGGAGAGGATGGAAGAAGAGAAGGAAGCACAGTCCTGGGTGCCCAGGGCAACAGAGCTGCCAGGGCAGCACCCCGGGGCCTGTAGAGCCAGGGCCCTATATCTGGAAGCCAGCTGTGTCAGAGGTGCACCGAGCAGTGCCCCGGGGACAATGAAAGCCTAGGCAGGAAGCGTGCCTGGGCAGAGGGAAGCTATGGGGGGCAGCTTTTCGGTTGGGTAGCTTGGCTCTGCCAAAGCTCAGCTCAGGTTCCTGAGCCTTTTGTTCGACACTTGCTGGTTAGAATGGCAGCAGGGAGCTGAGGGGACATGGGGACATGTCTGAAAGTCCTCTCCAGACACGAGGGGGGGGGCATAATGCCTGCCACTGGGGGCCTGAGAGTGGGCTGTGTAGGAGGGCAGGAAGCCCGAAACTGCTGGCTCTTGGGCACCCACACCCTGCCCAGGCTCTGTGCGCCGGTGGCAGCAATGCTTCCCGAGCCCAGGCAGGATGAACAGCACCACCTGACATAGGGGCAGTCTGTTAATCCTCTGTGCGCCATTTGTTCCTGAAAACCCTGACCCTGTGGGGCTCTGACTTGGCCTACATAGAAGACACTCTAATGGCATGGCTTTCTTGAGGAGTGTGTCCAGACAGAGCTCTCCCCTTCTGCAAACTGCAGAGAAGTAGCATCACACCACTGCTGCAAGTCCTTGGGACAGGCAGAAGTGATTAAATCAACTCCAGGTGGGGAAAGTCACAGAGAAAGCAAAAACCTTCCTGGGGCAGGATTGCAAATGCACAAGTCACAGCTTCCTCTCCCCTGTGAGAGGAGCAGCTTCATTTCATTTTCTTTATTATTTCCTCTCTTAAAGGACACAAAAGTTGTTCCAGCTGCTATGTCTCGAACTGAGGCACCAACAGAGGCACTTTCCAAGTGATACGGAGAAAACCCCAGGAACAAACTCGCCAACAAAGTTTTCAAGCTGACAAGCAGGTATTCTTTATTGCGACGCCGGGAGACACGGGGGATAGCTCCACCTAGCGTGTATCACCCCAATTGCCACACAAGCCGTCCTTTTATAGCCGCTGGGCATACATACATATTCATGAGGCTACGTATGGATTACGTAGTTTTCCAGAAAGGTCCCCGCATACGTACAGAATTGTGGTGGTGGTCTCTGAGGGTCGTTTACTTCTTCCAGCAGTCTTCATCACTTCTGGCAGCCTTTGAAGCATGCACAGTAGATGCTCATACCAGTTTAATTGGTTCGTTAGCACCAGAGACATAATAATCCTCCTGTCCTCCTACTTATCAGTTAGTTTGATGCAGACAGTTGACCAATGTACAGGGGGGTTGTACAAGGGGGTTGTACGGGGGGTTTGTACAAGCTGGTTAGAGGAATTTGCTTGCTTAAACAAAAGTATTGTCTGTTGTAAATGCCTGCTAAGCAGAACAAAGGCACCTGGTCCTGTTGATAAGGAAATGCAGACACTTGGTCCTATTGATAAGCAGCTATTGATAAGGAAATGCAGACACTTGATCCTATTGATAAGCAGCTATTGATAAGGAAAAGCAGACACCTGAATCTACTGATAAGGGGGAGAAGCAGATGGCTGGGATACTGACCAAACCCTAAGGCCATATGTGAAGACTGAAAGGTGAAAAGTGCAAGAAGAGGAAGACTCATTTACTTCATCTTGAAGACCCCTACCCACAGGAGGAAGAGTCATTTACTTCATCTTGAGACCCCTGCCCATGACCAGAGGGGGCACTGCGCAGCTGCAGAGGACCTTCTGGCTCATTATAATACGAAGCGGGGATAGGACATGAATATAGGCGTGTTGTGCAACCTTATGGAATATATATAACTTTAGAGAATAAATGTAGAGGGAAACAACACTGAGGCACGCATGACTTTGAGGAATTATCCCCGTGCGTCTCAGCACTGAATAAAAAGCATACCTACTTTACAACTTTAACGAGTTGTGGAGTCAATCCGTGCATCAAGTTTAGCTGTAGCCCATCCTGGACACCTGTGGTTCCCAGACACTCCTTATCCCTGTGTCCTGTTCTTCTAGACTGTTTTTCTTAAACTATGTCACAACTATAACGATTTGTTAACGATGTGAGAATTCTCAATATGTTCTCTAGTTGCAATCTATTTTTTTTTTCTCTATGTATCATGCACCTCAGTAATTTTCCATTGCTACTGTTACAAAGCCATCAAACTTAACGTTACTTAAATCTAATTCTAAAGGTTTCCATATTCTGTTTTGTGATTTTGTGCCCCCTTGTTTCAGCTCCATGCTGGGGTGAATGAGCATGGGTTGTGTTGAGCTGGGTCCTTCTCTGCCCACCCCAGCCCCCCCTCTGCATTCCCAAATCCCCATGGGAAGTCATGCGGGATGCTGAGTCCTGCTGATCCCGGCTTTGGCAGAAAGAGGGCACTTTCCGAGGCTTTGAAGTGAAAGCTGATGGTTTCTGAAAGGAGACGGGTTGAGGATAGGGATGTCACTGGGACTGGGAGTTCTTGGGGATGGCTTGTTGCTCTGTCCTGTCAGCCCTATGGGAAGTGCTCCAAATACTCCTACTGATGTAGTCTTATTGAGGGAATACACTCATTATTAGTGCCATTACATTCCCATAATACCAGGGAAATGCTTCTTGTCACCAGCCCACAGGGAAGAGGGACGCTTTGCCTTGGGAGAGAGCAGAAAACCCACAAGGTACCCCAGGGACCCTGCGGTGCTGTAGAGCTGAATGGCAGAGTTGGAACTGAATGAGCTTTAAGGTTCCTCCCATCCCAACCCATGCTGTGATTCCATGAATTTTGGCGTTAGTTTTGTACCTGGAAGCACAGCTCTTGTGGAAGAAAATCTTCACCCCAGGTGTGCTCTACCACGAGCACCCACTGCTTTTTGGATGAAACCCCTAAATCTCATGGACATGGGATTTTTCTTCCCGGGAAAAGCCCCATCCCACGACCGCTCTGATAGCACTGGAATAACTCAAATGTCTCTCAATTGCCTCTCAAATTGCCTCTCAAATGCAACTATTCCCATGTTCATCCTCACTCCCCAATGACTCTCTTGGCTGCAGGATTGCTTCTCCATGGCCAAAATCTCCTGGTACGGAGGGGTGAGCCTCCGTGCCCAGCGCTGGCCGCTCAATGGAGCCCAAAGCCAGGCGCAGCCTTTTGTCAGTGGAGGCTTCAGCAAGAATCCCACGGGATATGGGCCTGTTCTGGAGAGGTACTTCTTGGGCTGCACAGGTAACTGCTTCCTTCCCCATCCAGCTTCCTGTTCCTTCAATCCCTGTGTTTCTCCATCCTCTCCTCATCTATAAAGCAACTGGTTTAGCAGCAGGGTTGATGCCTTGGAGGTGAAGCTATCCTTCTAATGCAGTCCCAACTGGCAGCGGGACACAGTGGATGGATCCCACTTTGCCTCATCCCTATGGAAAAGGCTATGATACCAAACCTCAGTGCCTGAGAGGATGGGGTTGGCTCAGCTCGCCCCAAGGAAATCCCTGCTCTTGGTCTTTCTTCGTTTTTAGGATCTGTTTAAGCAGAGATCTGTGTCCATTGCCAGCTCCTCCAGCACCACTTGAATGGCTTCATCCTGAGCTCCCAGGTCCCTGACACTGCTCTGGGATGCTGGATGAGAGCTTAGGGGCTGTTGTCATTTTTGGGTGGATATTTGGATTATTCTGCAGCACTCCAGACTTCAGCCATTGCCCCTAATTAATCAAATGATCTGCGACTGCCCTGCAGTGATGAAGCTGAAGCTGCTGCCTAAGCTGAATGCAGAGCAAAAAGGCAGGAAATGGAGTAAATCCCCCCTCGAAAGGCGTTTTGGTTTAAAGGGAATAGCGAAAGCAGAGAGCAGGGCTTTGCCTGCGTGGCTGGGATCAGTCCAGGAGGTCCTGGTACCAGTTAGGCTCTGCCCTGTACATCCCTATCCCTGTGACCACCAGTGCTGAGGACCGAGGCCGGGCAGGCACGCGCTGAGACACCGCCTTGCTCTGCTCTCCCCCAAGGCGTGACGGTGACGGTGCCTCCCGACGAGCCCGTGCTCCTCTCGCTGGAGAGCAACTGGCATTTCTGCCTGGCATCCCCGGTGGGCAGAGCGGTCGAGCCCCTGCACTACACCCTCTGTGCCAGCACTGACATCGCGGCCGTGCACCAGCACGTGGGCACCCAGCTCAGCGCGTAGGAGCCGGCGCTGCCGGATACAGCGCTCCTGGGGTAAGGCATTCCCACGGGTAGGGACCCCTTCCACTGGAGCAGGATGCTCCAAGCCCCTGTGTCCAGTCTGGCCTTGAGCACTGCCAGGGAAGGGGCAGCACACAGCTCCTCTGAGCACCCTGTGCTAGCGCCTCAGCACCCGCATGGTGAAGCATCTTGTGCTGGCACAGGGTGCAGCCACCAGCTCTTTCCACGGCATAGGCCTCCAGTCTGGAGGTATTCTGGCCCAGAGGGTTCAGCTGCCAAAATAAAATGAGGTTTGAGGTCACTGGCGAGGAGGCTGAAGCAGCATCATGTTCAGGACGGGGTCCTGTTTGTGTTCAAAACGTGCAGAGAGCGCTGGTAAAGAGGTCAGGGAGCAATCCTTCAATGGGGCCCTATTTTTAGACAGTTTTCCTTAGAAAACAGGGCCTGGGCAATCACACCACAGAGATGCTGAACCCACTGGTGTGCGGTCCACGGGGCTGCGTAACCTCAGCCTGGGAGCTGCGGCAGCAACAGGGGCTGCTCGAGATGTGAGGAGCCTCTGGAGGGACTGGGGCTCTGTGGGCGGCTTGGCTGAGCCCTTGGCTCAGTTCTGTGTGGCATTTCTATACAGGCTGAGCCAGATTTTCAGAGCGAGGATGCTCCGGCTCCAAAGGCTTCATCTCCCTTTCCCTGTCCCTTCCCACCCTCTCCTGTCCTTCCCAAGCCCCTCCACGGTGTTTCAGAGGGCATCTGGAATCCCCTTCCACTGAGTATTTCTGACAACAATACTCTTCTTCTCCACTGCTGTGCACTATGGAACTGAAGGGAGCTAAAGCACAGGAGTACTCTCCCGTGATGCTTTGTCTTTGCATGCCATTGTGGAAAGAAAACCCAGCATTTCCCCAATGGTTTTCTCTGCAAGAAAGAAATCCCTTTTTATATATTCTGATTAAATGTAGAAACTCTGGAGACATCTGGTCCTAAAAGGGCCAAAGATCATAGAGTCAGAGTGGTTTGGGTTGAAGGGACCTTAAAGCTCCTCCAGCTCCAACCCCTGCCACAGGCAGGGACCCATTCCACTAGAGCAGCTTGCTCCAAGCCCCTGTGTCCAACCTGGACTTGAACACCTCCAGGGATGGGGCAGCCACAGCTTCTCTGGGCATCCTGTCCCTTCCTTTAGCCTAAATCTCCTGTTTCGGTCTGAACCCATCACCCCTTGTCCTATCGCTCCAGCCCCTGATGAAGAGTCCCTCCCTCCTCAGCATCCTTGCAGCCCCCTTCAGACACTGGAAGCTGCTCTGAGGTCTACACGCAGCTTCTCTTCTCCAGGCTGAACAGCCCCAATGTACTCAGCCTGGCTCCATACGGGAGCTGCTCCAGCATCCTCATGGCCTCCTCTGGACTTGCTCCAACAGCTCTGTGTCCTTCTTCTGCTGAGGACACCAGAACGCAAGAGATTCTTGCTTTGCCCTTTATTGGGTTAAGCTGGTCACAGGTTTCTCTTTTCTCCCCCATGCTGCAGGTCCTGAACCTCACCCGCCGCTGCATCCAGAGGCACCGGGACTTCGTTGTGCCGCTGCTCATCAAATACAGCTCGGAATGGCTCAGCTGGGGGTATCCCATCTTCCGGCCGGCCTGGTGGCTCAGCCCCACAGATCCAGCCGCTTTCACCATCCAGGATGAGTTCCTCATTGGAGATGAGGTAGGGAATGTGGGGCTGAATGCTCTCCCAGGGTAAATAAGGTGCCCCCTGCCCTCACCCATCCACCTCTTTGCATCCTGCCTGAGTACAGCACTGGGGTAGGGGTGGTGGGGAACCATAGGGCTGGTGGGACCCTGTGGCTCCTTCAGCTTTGCGATTTATTCAGATTGAGTTGTTGACAAGGCTTCTTTCCTTTTGGCTTTTAATATCAGGGTATTCTTCAGTCCTTTCTGCTGGAAGACACCCCCTGATTGTCAGCAGTTCTTTCCCCCCTCTTTTCAGGCTGCTTGTCCCATTACTTGATGCTACAGCACGATTGTTTCATGCTGTAAATGCTCCCTGCAAGCCTGGTGTGCTCACACTTTGGTCACGTAGCGGGAGTCTGTCCCTGCAGATGTGTCCATCCCACTGCTGCTCCTTTAGATGGCCTGATAGTTGATGTGGTCTGTGCTGCTTCAAACCAAAAAGCTCTTGGAAAAGCAACTCATGCCTTTTGGAAAAGACTTTCCTTAAAGGAAACTGTGCCTCATCCTGCCATGGTTGTAAGGAGCCTCCGGTTTGGGCAATGGCATCCCTTGATCTTTGTCCCTCCTGCTTTGCCTGGGTGCAGGATCCCAACAGCTCAAGACTTCGGCAGTTCCTACCCGGGTTTTTTAGTCCATTAAAAGCATAATCCTCAGTTCATACTATTGAATTCATTTTGCAGCGACACACTGGGCTGTCTTTACACAGGGATGCTGCTAATCATGGGGATATCACCTCCATAAAATAAGTATCCTCAATCCCAAAGCAAAGCTCAGTAGCAGTTTGTTCCTTGTTTCAATAGGAAAGCAGCTTGTGCTGCAGAGGTACCTTTCGAGGCTCTGCCTGCAGCCTCCAACAGATGCTGCAATACCCGACTGCCACATATGAGTTTCTGGTCATAAAATATGTGAATTCATTTATAGATTTTAGTATTTATTATTATTATTACGGAAAATTTCACTGCAGGAGACCAGCTTCTTAAGAAGGAGCAGAAAGGCCTTTAGAGAGAGCTCGGATAGAATCATAGAATCACCCAGGTTGGAAAAGACCTTTAAAATCATCAAGTCCGACCTAAGTTGGGAAGCTTTTAGAACACAAACCTTTGGCACAAAGGAATTGGAGAGCAGCACTGTGTGAGTGCAGAGGTCGCAGGGAGCTGAGGCTTTGCCCCTGTCCCAGGGTTGTTTGGGCACTAATGGGGGTATTAGTTTTGAACTGAGCAAGCTTAAACTTAGTCCCTTCCCCTAGAATCTCTCGATCGATGCAATTCAGGCAGGCAGGGCAAGAGTGTGCTCCATGTTAGCTGACATTCCCCGTTCAACCCTGCAGGCTCCGGGAGGAAAGATAATAAAGGGTCAGAGCAGCTTCAGGCTTCTCTCCCCTGCGAGGTGCAAAGCTTTGGCTTGGCTGAACACTGCTGAAGTAGGGTAAAATGTGGTGTGTGCTCTGTAAGGGTGTCAGGGCCAGGCAGTTGTGATAGAGCAGGAGGTGAGGCTGCCAAGAAGCTCCCCTGGCTTCAGGTTTTAATCGTTATTGCTCTCATTTTCCAAGAGAGCCTGAGCCTGTGTGTGGGGAGCCCAGGCAGGGATGGTTTGATTCCAAGCTGCCGTTTGGAAGCTGCAAGAACAGAAACATGCTCCAGAAACAGCTTTGGTGCAATGTGGAGCATCATTAGCTCTGAACTACTGGGAAATGCAGTGTGGTTCCGTCCCGGTACAGTCTGAGGCAGGACTAAGGGCAGAACAGCAGGATAAACCCTCTGAGCATCATTGCTCAGTGCAAGCAGCTGCCGCAAGCGCTGATGAGCACAGCTCTGGTGGCCCTGCATGTGCCAGGGGGTTGGAAGTGGATGAGCTTTAAGGCCCCTTCCAACACCAACCAATCTGGGATGCTATTCCTGATGCCCTCCTGCTTCTGAGTCGCACCTGAGGTGTTTTGGGGGTTACCCTGGGCTGGGACAGCCCTGCTCTGAAAGCTGATTGTCGGGCTGTGATTTGTGCATTCATCACTTCCAGATCTCTTGGCACGTTCAGCCTGAATCAGGCCGGGCACTATAGCTGTTAAACGTGCCAGAATGCTCCATAAGCAGGTTTTAGGTCAGATTTTTGCTGACTACGAAGGGAAATAAGCATCATCTCCCCTTGAGCAGACAGACAGCAATGCCTTTGGGTGTCTGCAAGCGGCTTTGGATGCAGTGGTGGACTGCAGTGGGCAGGGTGGTTTTGATCAGGCTTGAGGTCTTGAAGCTGGATTTAACACTGCACAGCCACATTCCAGCATTACTCATGAGCAAACGTCACTACTGGGAAGGGAATTGGAGCAGACCCCTGCTGAATTCTTCCAGCAAAGCACGTTGAAATACAACAGCAAAGAGCCAAGCTGTGCTGGTTTGTGTCGTGCGGTGGTTTGTGGCTGCTTGTCAGTGCCATCTGCCTGGCGAAAGGGATGCTGCAGGTGAGAAAGCCAAGTGTGGCTGCCAAATACATTTATGAAGGCCGGGAGGGTTCAAAAGTGTCCCCCCAAATGTTGCAAACACCAGGACTTGTCCCTGGGATGACGCGGCTGTGCAGAGCAGAGCACACCTCTCCTTATGCCTCTGTTCCGAATGGGGCTCACTGATTTGACCCAAGAGCAACTTCTTCATGCTTTTACTTTTACATACTTATTAAATGTAATCATCCCTATGCCAAGGCCACTGGCTGGGATTTTGATGACCATTTGAGGGTGCTGGGAAGCTAAGTCCTTTGAGTCTCCCAAAGGAGCCTTGAGTCCACAGAATGATAAATATGCATCCGTTGCTTGGGATAGTATCGATCACATTGTGTATTTTGAGCATCGCCTTTTCCTAGGGTTTAATCCTACCTCACCTCTAACCTGTAACACTCAATTAGTCTGAGAGGTAGAAACAAATCCTTCTCCTAGATGCAGGAGAGGAAAGGTGGGAGGGGAGGTGGGAAGAGAGCGTTAAGTTGCCTGCAGAGCAGCCCCAAACAGAGGGCTTTCGAAGTCCTTTTGAGCAGCCTGGAGCTAAAGCTCTTTTCCTACCTTTTTCCAGTCTCTTTCCTATTCAGGTGGAACATGTTCATATCTACCTGAAATACGAGTTTCTGCTTGGTTTCCTACGGGATTCTCTTTGGCTTCACTGACTAAGTTGTATCAAAGAGTCGGCCTGAATCAAATCCTCCCAAGCACGGCAGGAAAGGGAAATTCTCAACTCTGCCACAGATGGCTTGGGGATGTCTCTCGTCCATACTCGGTGCCACCAGTGCCTACTGCAATCCCATAAAACCTTCTCAGAAGCTGCTTTGTGGGAGCCTGAACCCACCTGCATGTGCCTCTGGGCACCCCAAGCTAGTTCATGGTGTCCCTGCTCACTGCAGGGGGCTGAACTAGATGAGCTTTGAAGGTCCCTTCCAACCCGAACCATTGTGTGATTCTCTGGCCTTTGCTCAGCACAGCTCAGGGAGCTTTGTGCTTACCTCTGCTGTGGCACGCATGGACACTCATCTGCAGTTAAGGGCCAGACCCCCTGACCTCCTCTGTGGTTGGTTGTTCCTTCAGCCTTGTGCTTTGCTTGGTGCACGTCCTGGCTAATCCTCCAAGTGCTACGTTTCTCTTTATTCCCTGCAGGTCCTGGTTGCTCCAGTAACAGAGAAAGGGCAGACGTGGAGGGACATCTACCTGCCCGGAGAGGGGCACCTCTGGATGGACACCACCACTGCCCGTGTGTTCGACGGAGGCACCATCCTCAGGAACTACTCTGCTGGCCTTGCAGAGGTGCTGGTCTTTGTGAAGACCTCCGAACTCCAGCCTGCTGCAGCTCTGGGGCCTCTCTCAGGGCAGTGCTGCCCACATGTGCTCGCTCTTCCAGCCTATTTGTACTGTTCCAAGAACCTTTGTTTACCAGTATTATCTTAGCAGAAGTCCTTTGAGTCTTTCCTTACTTGCTGTTGTTCTAAGAGAGGAGATGCAGCTTTGGCACAAAGACACGCTCATGTGCAGTGGTGACCTCTGTGCTTCCAGGGCTTGCCCAGTGCCATGTTTGTGTGTGAGCTCAGGTGGGCACATGCGGCATTTCCAGCTCCCTGGCACCACGCTCAAAGATGCTGCCTTGGCCAGAGAGTGGATTTCCTAGAGCAGGAGGTAAATGAACATGGGCTCATACCCGATGGGATGCTTTGTGTTTGAAGAGAAAAGCATACGCAGAGAAAACTGACTGTGAGAGCTCTCTTCAGGTTCCTGGACATCACGTGTGCTAAGCACTACCTGCTTCTCTCAGCTGCTGCTGGGTGTACGGTTCCCCAGGGCAGTCTTTGGTAGCAAAGCCTGACTTTGAGGATAACCAGGAAAACTGGGTGAATTCCAGGTCTATTGGCAGCAGGTTTCTGCGGAACAAAAGTAAACTTTGCCAGACAGGATCGTCATCCACCTTGGAATACAATCTCTGGTGCTCATCACTGAACTCCTATAGGCCCCAAAGAGGGCTCTTCATCATCTGAAGATGATGGTGGTTCTTTTTCCTCTCAATTATTCCCTGCAGTGCAACAGCGTGACCAGCCTTATTCCACCCAGCAGAAGCCATTCCATAGGCAATCCAGACATCCCACGTGCTGAGTGTATATTTAGGGAGATGACGAGCTTCTCTGATAGCCCAAGTTATGGATTTCTGGGACATTAACATGTACAATAATGGGGTGAGTTCAAAGGCTGGTGTTTGAGGGCAGGAGGAGGTGGTAGCTGGGACTGAAGTGGAGAGCAAGATTGTGCTGCTGGGCTTGGGCACAACCAGCCCCCGTGACGAACTGCATCAGCAGCTTGGATTGGTGTGGAAATGCTGCTCTACCAAGCTGTGGCTGCTGAAAAATGCAATTCAAGGTGTACCAGGTCCTCCCAAGCCGTTTTCCCCTGAAATTAACTGGAGTGAAGGCAGGAGAGGAATAGCATATATCCAGCTGTGGAAGGCCAGAGAGGTGCAGAGTGATGGCTGGGATGTGGGAAGTCCTCGAGTTGTCCAGGACGGCGCGCTCGGGGGGCAGACCACGTCCCGCGTTGCGGTCAATGCCCCAGGCCGTGCTCCGGAACCGCCTCCCGTTCCGCAGCGATCTCCAGCCCCGCCGCGACCGTCGGCGGTTGCTGCGGTGCCACCTCCGGGACCTGCTCCTGCTCCTCGCTGAGCCCCGGCCGTGAGCACGGGCACGGGCTCGTCTGGAAGAGCCGACATTCCAGCGGCCGGAGGGGCACGGCCGCCTCCCGTCCGACCGGCGGCGCAAGGGTCTCCCCCTGCCCTCTTCATGGCCCTCATGGATGCGGCCGTCCCGCATAGGGAAGATGTGGTTAACGGAGCCCTGGCACCTCGGGCACACGGCTCTCCTGCGGGCCCACTCCTGGATGCAGGGCAAGCAGAAGCAGTGCCTGCAGGAGCCCAGGCAGACTCCGCTGTTGGGGGGTTCCTGGCCCCTCGGCTCCTCAGACGCCTTCATCGGCTCCGCCCGGGACCCCCGCCTGCTGTTGGCAGGGAAGAGCCGCCCCTGTCCAAGCGCTCCCCGTCCGCCACCTCCCTGCAACCCAAAGCCATGCAGAGCTCAGCCCTGCCCTGCGGGCACCACCGGCCCGAGGCAGGGAAGCCCCAGGAGGTGCCCGCGCTGCCGGGAGCGAGCCAGGGCCCATCCCGGGGCAGGCGAGCGGCACCGTAGGCATCTCCGAGCGCTCCCGCTGCCGGGACTGACCTCTCCGGCAGCAAAGCGGCTCCCGGCCTGGCCGCGAGGGCAGCGCAGGGGCCGGGCTCCTTCGTCCCCCCGCAGCAGCTGTCCCCATGCACAGGACAGCGCTGGGGCCCCCGGCGCTGCCGCGCGCGGCTCCCAAGGGGCGATGTCAGAAGCGTCACAGTGACCCCAGGGACATCACGGGGCTCTGGGCTCCAAAAGCAGAGGCAGGCTCCAGGGCAGAAGGCTCATTTGGCCGAGCGTCCTGAGCTGGGCTCCTCTCCGCTGGGAGAGATGCGGACTTGGCAGAGGGAGAGGATTGGACCCGCGGCACAGAGCCAGGATGCCGATGGCGCTGAGCGGAGCTGCTGCTCCCTGTCAGTAAAGGCTGGGAGGCTGCACAGGGGCGCGAAAGCTGGCACAGGTTTCCTCTGGTCTCCTTATGGCCAGGCTGATGGGGAAGGGGAAAGAGAAAGGGAAGGGGGAGAGAAGGAGAAAAGGGAGAGCCCCAGAACTGTAGAGCAGCTCCATTGGGAGGGGCTTGCAGCAATCCCCTTGTCCAACACCCGACCACGCCAGGGCTTGTCCAAAAGTGAAAGCGAATTCCGTTGCAGCTCTTTCTCCTGTATGTGACGCTCCTGGTCAAACCTTTGCTGTTCCCAGGGCAGGACGGAGCCTGATCCCTCCGAAACAGGCAGGCAGGAACTGGGAGCAGGGAAGCAGCGTCCCTGAAATGCACACACTGTGCTGCGCCGTGCCATGCGACTCTGTCAGGCCCTGCACGATGACTGACCCCAACTGGCTCCTCGGCCATCCTGATCCTGGCTGTGGGGACCATCCTGTTCATCACCACCCGACGGCCAAAGGTAGGGGCTGCTCAGAGCCAGGGGTCACTCGGGGTGGGTGCTGATGAGGTCCTCCCCAGCAGGTCCCTGTGCTCTGCTCTGTTCCCACAGGGTGACAAACAGAGCCGGCGATGCTGGGCAGGGTGGCAGCAAGCGGCAGCACTGGAGAGCCCAAAGAGCCCCATGGGTCCTCCCTGTGACCCAGGGGGTACCTGGGCCTGTCCCCAGGGCAGGAGAGGGCAGAGCAGGGCCCCTTGGGGCAGCCTGGCCCCAGTGCAGGCAGGCAGCCCCTTGAGGCCCTGGTGTCCCCAGCCCCATGGCTCAGGCCCTCCTCCCTCTTTCGCCCGTGGCAAACGTGGGATGTGCCCCAACTGTGTGCACTGCACCTGGGCTGCCCAGGAGCTGCAGCAAGTGACGCTGTCACCGCCGCTGGGGATGGGCTCAGTGCCTGCACAGGACCACGGCACCAGGCAGGGAGCAGGGGGGGACCTGCGGGCGCTGTGGAAGCGGGGCTGCCTCTCCTGCCACAGCCTCAGCTCCTCCAGCTTCTCCACGAGGCTCGGCAGCCCTGAGAGCCTGACGGATGCCTGCGTGAGCCTGGACCCAGAGACCCCGGTGCGGCTGGGCTCTGCCTCCTCCCTGGGGTCCTTGCGTGCTGGGGGAGCCTGGTCAGCACTGAAGATGCACGTGGCCAGGAAAAGGTTGGAAGTGCAGCTGGGGGCCCTGCCCATGCTGGTGCAACTCTCCCAGGAGCAGGCAGTGCAGCAGCAGGGCCGCCGTGTCCTGCCAAAGCTCATCCAGCCCGGGCAGAGCCAGCCCTTGCCACGCTGCAGGATGCGCCCCTGGATGCAGGCCAAGGCAGACACCATCGCGGACACCATCAAAGAGAAAGAAGTCCGGAGGCTGTGGGGGGACCCCAACCCCACCGAGGAGTCCCTGAATCTGCTGGTGCCGTGCCCTCCACTACTGCTCATGCCTCCGGCCCTGAAGCTCCTTTGGAAACACAGCACATGGGGAGCCCAGGCCCTGGCTCAGGCCAGAGCCATGGGGCAGCCCATGGAGGGCCGGCAGGAGCTGCCCAGCCAGCACAGCTTGAAGGCGCTCCTGCACGCTGCGGGTGGTGCCATCTGCTTCACCAGCCCAGCCCCAGCCCCAGGGACTGGCATCAGTGAGAGCCTCCTTCACCCGCATGGGCAGTTACTGCAGCGAGAGCTGTTCCCGTGCCCTCTTGGCTCATCCTCAGCCCAGCCAGCCCTTCCCAAGCCAGACCACAAGGCAGAGGAACCGGCAAAAGGACCAGCATCATCTTCAGTCCCGCAGAAGAGAGATGTCGGCCTCCAGACCAACCTCACCATTCCCCGGAGCAGGCGGGAGGCCAGCCCTGTGGACATGAGCCAGCCTCGTGCTTCGGTGCCTGCTCTCATCTCCAGGCTGAAGCTGAGCCAGGAGGTGCACAGCAAACTCGAGGCACACATTGCAAGGAAATGACTGGAGATGGAGCAGCTCAGGCCCCTGGCAGCTGTGCCATGCAGCTCCATGGCCATGCAGCGGTCCCTGCCCAAACGCCTTCGGAACAGGACTCATGGCGCTGGCCCCTGCCTCAAAGCACAGCGCCAGACAGCCCGGGTCGCACCCCAGGAGCACCAGGCACCCCTCACCTCCCGCCCGGTGCCCAGGGCCAGCCCTGAGGCCAGGTCAGTGCCCCTGCACCCGCACCCCATGCCCAGGAAGGAGCCAGGTGGGGCAGGGCTGCAGGTCAGCAGCCGGCCCCTCGTACCCATCGCAGCCACCCCAGCACCCAGCACCTCCCTGAGCCCTGGCAGAAGCCCACTGAGCTGGAGCAGGAGGCACATCCAGCCCAAGCCGTGTCTGGGCTTGAAGGAGAGCTCCAGGAGCTGGAGCAAGAAGGGAGATGGGAGAGAGAAGAGAGCTTAGATCCTGGACAAGGATCCTGCCGTGACCAACGTGCCCAGGGCCACAGGAGGCCCTCAAGGTGGCTTCAGTGCGGATGATGAGGGGCAGGTGGACACTGCAGTGGGACAGCCCCAGCCAGGGCTGACTCTGGTGTGGCAGCAAACAGCATCGAGCCAGTTCCGCTGCTCCAGCTGAATCCACAGCAGAAAGCCCCCAGGAGGGACCTCAAAGTGGCCCTGGGAGGGACAAGGGTGAGAAGATGAAGGGCAGGGATCGCGGTTACACAATCAGAGTCCAAATAAATCCTTGTTCTAGCCTGAATGTGGGAGTTGCTTTCTGTGACCTCTGAGCGGGATGTGACTGTGGGCTGGAGAGGGGGGGAGAGGAAGGGGCTCTCTCAGCTCTTCCTTGTAGGAGAGATGCTTCAGCCCCTTTATCTTCCTTCGCTTCCTGTGAC